AACGAGCGAAAAAGGTATTTATTGGGTTTCCGGCGCAAAGCATTTTCGTCACTATTCGCTCATTTAGTCGGAGCGATATCCAACTGCCATTCTGTTGCCCAACTCTTGCCCAAGATACCATGCATCAAAATATCTTCATCGAGCGGACACATCAGCTCGTCTTGAACACTGAATCCGTGAGGGGCGAACAGAGCCGTCGGCCTCACCTTCTGGCAGGGGCGGGAGTTCTTTCATGCAAACTTCAGGTGTCAGCGCCTTTGGTGGCTTTCTGAGTACTGATCTTCGGGCTACATTCTCATCCAGGTGAAACCCATCGATGCAGCGACGAAAGTCCACCGACGTCGGTGTATGAATCCCTTTGTACCATTTTTGGGAGGCAACCTGTAGCTTCGCCCAGGCTTGACTGCCGAGAACATGGACTGAGCGGGGCACCACGATGACCTTGTATGGAAAAAGATAGTCGCGGGGTATTCTGGATGGGTGAACGGGCTGGGTCCATCCGTTTTCTGCCTTGTATCTCTGGTACTTCTGCACACTGGCCGAATGAGTGATGTCGTATGGTTTGAAGAAGTCGATGCACATGGCACAGAATCCTTCCCTCTGGAAGCGTCCTCTTTTTCGGTTGCCACAGAGCTCGCGTTGTCTGTGGGCTTGTGGGCTGTTGTCTGCTTCTGGGCGCTTGGCTTGCCGGCATATCATGACGAGCTCCTCTGCGTGGCTGCACACAGTAAAAACGGATTTGAGAACTATACACATGTCCGAAATCGATGTGATCACTAGTGAGTCCGAGACGAAGAAGAGGAACGCCCGCTTCAAGTATCCGTTTGAACTTGTCGAACCTCGCCCTATGCACGTTGCGTGCTAACAAGACCTTTCAGTTGACCAGGGTCGACTCACGAGAGCTGAGCTGAGATCTTGCTTCAGTGTGTTGAGATCCTTCGTATTGCATAAGATGGCTCTGGACTGTCCAGGAGGTAATGTCAGTGAGACCCCTGTGCGAGAGAGGTTACGGTCCAAGATAGTATGAGGGCGAGCCAAGAAAATGTGGAACCATAGGCGCGAACCACGCCTCCCATGTAAGAATCACTCACTGGTGACCATGACAATAGAACGCATCCAGCTTCGGCACGCTCTCCACGGTGCGCAGTAATCACAACATTTTACCATGTTGACCGATTTACATAAGAAATGACAGTTGATGACCCCACATCAGCGAGAAGTACCGTAGACCTTTTTGTAGTATCCACGCCGTCTTCTTGCCGTCAGCTGTGATCGTTTATATAAGTCACTGGGGCTGCCCTTGTCAAGCGTGGGTCGGTCTTTGGAGTTTCATGGAGCTTTATGATAGCCTGATGGGCCATTTGATACACGAAAAAAGATCCCGTCATGCCGAAGTTTCGAGCGGAAGAATGACATCAAAAAGCAGAATGCAACACGGCCACTGACTTACGTGACAATTGCACAATCCATCTGACTCGGAGTGTGCAACAACCCCAGTTCGCCCATCTTTGGGCTGTCGACGAACGCGTAAAATGAGAGGAAACAAATGCGTTATGAAACACGCTGTTGACTAAACGACTTGGTCAGGTTATATACACGGCTGAGGAAGCTGAAGACATCCATTAGAACAAAATCGTTTGAATGAAATGGAGAGAATCAAGAAGTCACGATGCTGGAACTTCTTCGTATTTGAATGCCCACAATTGCCATGCAGACGCAAGCTTCCATAGAATCCAGCAGCTCAGTCTATACACCATCGATTCGTTTTGCTTCAGCATCGTCGTTTCAATCACAATGCGCAACTTTCCCCCCGAAGTTCTTCTGCTCATATTTGACACCCTAGGACCGTCAGACTTGAGCAGGACGGCAAGATGCTGCAGGTTCTACCATACGCTCGTCACGCCCAGACTCTACGAGACTTTGCGCATTCGAGTGAGGTCTGGGATACATGACCAGCGGATGCCGAAACTTCTCAGCACTTTGATGCGGCCCTCTTACCTCCATCAATTGATCCGACGCGTTGAGGTTGTGGTAGATGACGATTGCCTATGGACGCGCGAGACCTCCACGCTGTTGAGCATCATGCTGAAGCACATCTTGAGTTCGCCTGATGTGTCGACAGCGATTCGATCATATAGCTGGACTGCTGCGTATCCCTTCACCGGGCTCGTCTTCCCGAATCTGCAACAGCTCGACTGCGGTGCCGTCGGCCCACAGAGCATCGAGTGGGTGCGGTG